GATGAGTTAGTCACAAGGACTGTGCCCCACATGTATCAAAGGATCAGAAACCTGACAGCCTTCTAGAACATTATGACTAGTTAAAAATCAAAATCTATGTTTATTTTTGGCTCAGGTCATTTTTTTTAACTTTGCTGGTATTTGAAAGCCAATCATAAAGATTTAAGAATATCTCATTAGCTTCACTGAGAGAGAAGACATCTAAACATCTAGAAAACATCCAAACCCAGGAGCCCCATGGGAAATAAAGCCCCATTTATATTTTATCTACATGGTTTTATGCAATTTTAAAGATAATCTAGGAATGATTGATATGTCAGCTGTGAGTTATCAGCATGACTAATACTCTAAAGAAACGTTCTACTCCATAGAAAAGTATCACTACAAAGAAATCCACCTTGATTTATTAGGTAGGGCTTCAAAATATTACTTCTTTAACAAAAATAATAGACTTAAGGTTTGAGTATATAAAAGCTTAGAAGTACAGGGCCTTTTTGTAACTCGAAGTTTCCCCAAAGCATTCCATATTTAAAATTCTCCTCTGAGCAAACTCTCTGTGATTAAACTCTCAGGACTAGTGTTAACTGCTTCAGGTGGGAATTTTTTTTTAATGGTATTTCAACATAATTACAAAAAGGCCACACATCAAATGAGTTAGAGGGAGTACCTTTGGTTGGGGAGGAGGGGATGGGGGTAGAAGTTGAGCAGTAAGCTAAAAAGTTTTAAAAATTTAAAATGAGAGAAGTTTTCTCATGGACTAATGATGATAATAACATGGAACGAATTAAGGAGAATAATGTTCATAATTCTAAATTTAAAAGTATTTTTTAAAGGAAGGGTGTGACAGTGTTTCCTGGGTAGATCAAAGTTCTCCTAACACAGAGGTCTTCAAATTCTCACTCGAGCAGTGGTTCTCAAAGTGTGGCCCCTGGGCCAGCAGCCTCAGCTTCCTGGGGAATTTGTTAGAAATGCAAATTATCAGCCCGGATCCCAGACCCACTGAACCAGAAACTCTGTGCAGGGCCCAGTAGTCAAATGTTAACCAAGCCCTTCAGGAGGGTCTGATGCCTGATACAGGCGGAGAATCAAGTGAGCAACACCTGGGAGCGTTCAGCACTCACAGCCAATGCCCAGGCCAAGTCCTAGGCCAATTAAACCAGAACCTCTGAGGACAGGGCCTTGGCATCAGTATGGCTTTCAACACTCCTCAGATGCTTCCAGTGTTGGATAGAGAGTCACTTCCTTGGAGAGCCCCTCTTCCTCCGAGAGAAGGAGCCAACTGGCTGAGCTCCAAACTTAACCCTCCTGCAGCAGGATTAATTATGTCTTGAACTGGCTTGTTTTACTTCTTTCTCAATGAAAGGTTTTCTTAAAAGAAGTGTGAAAACTACGAGCTGAGTAGAGTCAGGACTGATTAATTCTGTTTAAATCCGTTAACAACTGTGTCACTAGAGCCAGACTCTGAAGGAAGGGACCCTGGAGTTAATTTTCGTCTGTGTGGAAATAAGGAAGGGGATGACCATCCTGACCCGTGGGGCACAGTGAGGACTCCCCAGCAGCAGAGAATATGGAGAAAGGGACAGGGCTCTAGTGAAGGGAAGGGCAGGAGAGTCCCCCATCAGAATAACAGGCAGGCCCAGACAAGGGTTTAAAACCACAAAAAGCAGGTATGGTGTCACAGACAAATCTCACCTGCATCAGAGTTTACCTGAAGCTACCTTTGTACAGCCAAATGGAGATGAGTCAGACACAAAGTTATCTCTGAAATTGTTCTGCAAAATATTGGGGAAACTATAAAAAATTTGCTGATGTTAAATATACATGCAAATTTCTAGGCACTTAGCTCAGCAGATTATACCCAATCATCAGCATTAAAGGTTTTCTGGAATATGAGATGGGGTGTGTACCAGCAGGTTGCTCAACAGACTCCGTTTCCCAGGTTTCCCTGGTGAGCTGGCGTCGAGAGAGAGACAGAAATGCAGGACTGGTCTACTGTTAGTTTCTCTAGCGCCAAGACTTCAAGTAATTGTACTGAAAGTTTAGCAGACATTGTTAAAGGGATTTCCATTCTTCATAAGAAAGATAAACATGCAAAAATTGAGTCTAATTTAGTGATTGAATTGTAAAAGATGAATGTTGGATATTCTAATTTAAAAGAAACTAGACAGAAATTAGATTAGATTACCTTTCGTTTTTTAATCTTTTTTTTAATTGAAGTTAGTTTACAATGTTGTGTCAATTTCTGGTGTACAGCATAATAATTCAGCCATTCATACACATACATATATTCATTTTCATAAACTTTTTCATTATAGGATATGACAAGATATTGAATATAGTTCCCTCTGCTATGAAGTACAAATTTGCTGTTTATCTACTGTATATATGCCTGCAAATCTCAAACTCCCAATTTATCCCTTCCCACCCCTCCCCCCACCATAACCATAAATTTGTTTTCTATGTCTGTGAGTCTGTTTTTGTTTTGAAAATAAGTTCATTTGTCTTTTCTTTAGATTCCACATATAAGTGATAGCATATGGTATTTTTCTTTCTCTTTTTGGCTTACTTCACTTAAAACGACAACCTCCAAGTCTATCCATGTTGCTACAAATGGCATTATTTTATTATTTTTTATGTTGAGTAGTATTGCATTGTATAAATATATCACAACTTCTTTATCAGTCATCTGTCAATGGACATTTAGGTTTTGCATCCAAAATAGCTTAAAGACTTAAACATAAGACAAGACACAATAAATATCTTAGAAGAAAACATAGGCAAAACATTATCTGACATACATCTTAGCAGTGTTCCCCTAGGACAGTCTACTGAGGGAATAGAAATAAAAGCAGAAATAAACCTAATCAAACGCAACCTTATGCAAAGGAAACCATAAACAATACAAAAGGACAACATACAAAATGGGAGAGAATATTTGCAAATGATGAGACTGACAAGGGCTTAATTTCCAGAATATATAAACAACTCATACAATTGTTAATAAAAAAAAACAAACAACCCAATCCAAAAATGGGCAGAAGACCTAAACAAGCAGTTCTCCAAAGAAGACCTACAAATGGCCAAAGAGCACAAGGAAAAATGCTCAG